TTTTTGTTTTTTTTTTCTTTTTCGCTGACACCAAATTACTAGACAGACTTCCGCACCGGAAGTGCATATGTGAGAACTAAACTATTTTAGAATCGTATAGACACGTCTTTAAATATTACTAGGCGATAGGGGAAATGTTTTATTTTACACATCTGTGTGTCCCTGTGTCAGTGAGCTTGATCATTGTAAGAATGATTGGATTGGATTACATTACATTTATAAATGTACAGACACTGTTTTTACTGGATAAGTAACGACACACTGCGGAGACTACTAGTATTACTGTCACATATTTCAAAGTTTGTTTTTTGCGTTGATACCGACGACATAATTGTCACGCACGTCATATTTAACGTTATCACACATCTATATTTAATATCGTCAACAGTGCAATACCGAATACGGCTTAAGGTATATTTACAATAATTTTCGCCCTAATGTCATTATGTACAGTGCACATTATGGAAATATGTACCCAGAATTATCATACACACTGAATTGTCAAATAATTTAAACATTGCCAACAAATGTGTAAGCTATAATAAATTGAATTAATTGACAATTATATTACTATTGCGTGACATTTCGTAACGCGATTGATCACGGTCACTCTACGCATTCTTCGTGTTTATTTCTTTTATTTCATCAATTCGCCGCAAGGTAGTAATAATTCAATAATAAACGAGAAATTAAGACGCGCCGTATACAACGCGTGTAAAATAGTGTTTGATTATAACAAAAATAATAGGGCGCGTTGTGCGATAACTGTCGCTTTTCAAAAGTACAAGTATAATGTCCAACATGTTAGTCAAACCATTTTTTTTTCATTTTTGAGGGAAATTGACTGATTAGCTGTGTGTGTAAAATAACTGTACTTGACAAGCGTTTACATTGTAGTATAAGATTTAACCGAATTATCACATTACGCGTAATTGATGAAATACCGTTTACGTCCATTTGTTATTGTTACGAGTCAACCAAAACTGATTTTGAAGCACGTTTTGCAATCGTCTGCAAAAAGTAGTTACATACATTATTAAGGGTAAACCACATATTCGTACCGTGCTCGTGTTCACACATTTCAAGAATACAGGTTATTTCATAACACGTCATGACATGACATAGTCGCTGTCGTTTTAATGAAAGTATATTTAAGTGAATGTGCGCATGTACATCTCGTAATATGTACATGTAATCCTTCGAAATATTTCACATTTTAACAGCTCAGGCAAAACTTTATGCAACAGATTTGAACCAATTCCATCCATCAATGAATACTTGAAATATTCGACAAAGAATTACATTTTCATTGCGGAATCGGAATACGGTAGTAGAACTCCAGAATACACTCCTCGCTTAGTGGCACCTTCCAGGAGCAGTGTACAAGTGTTGGCAAACCTGAGCTAATTTTACAGAAAACATGACACTGCAGGACAATTCAGGCGCAGAGACACGTCTTAACTCTTGAAAACCACATGCAGAACTAAAGACAATAGCCCAACCTAGCCTGGAGTTCACCCCAGCCCAAACAATGATGGAACAAAGGAATCTAACCATGCATTCGCTGGCACACGTGTATGACAAATCAGCGGGGCAGGTTTGCACAACTTAAACTTACATGACAGGCATGATACAAACTGTAGTTGTGCGATTCCTCCCTTTAATAATATTCATGTTTTATTATAATTTGTGCGTGATTGTCACACTCGTATTACAGACAGAATACAACCCGGGATCAGTTTATTTAGAAACAGGTATGAAAAATCGTGACATTAATTGTAGATTCAAATGGCTGCCCATCTTGAATCGTAATCATGACAGAATTGCATGTGCCTATGAACAATAAAATGTCAGATCTTTGTGTGAAATTGTGAAACTTGATCGGATCGGAGACATGTTAGTAATAAGAGAATCAAAATGTCGCCTGTGTACTATTTTGAACCCAATTCGAAAAATAAAATGATGTACATCACGGTTTCTTTTGTTTAATTTATATAGCCAGTTTGAACTGAATCCGTAAAATACAATTGACATCTGGTTCCGGAATGGTGAAAATGTACGAATTTCATGCATTTATTTTTACAATGGCTGCCATAAAGTCATCTCGAATCACGACACAAATTGCTGTTCATACGTCCGATACAATGTATTATGTATGTTTTTTTAACGATTTGTGCAACTATGTTCGAGATTCAGGTGGATACGGACGCACGGAGGTTAATCCATAGTTCGCGGTTCCCATATTACCCCTTTGTCTGAACGGGGACTAATAAGGGACGACGTCAAAAGATCGATGTCAGTTAATTCTTTTAGTTTTTTTCCCAAAACCCCCTACCCCCACTGAAACCTAATTGATAAATATTGGTTATGGCGTCAGACTACATTAAATACAAATTGATAATCGGACAGCAGTGTGGCATAGCAGTTGGTTGTAATAATGAAGCGGAATATACGCATGCGCAAATTGATAATCGGACAGCAGTGTGGCATAGCAGTTGGTTGTAATAATGAAGCGGAATATACGCATGCGCAAACTACTATTCTGGGTTCTGCGCATGCTCTAGGTCCATGCCCTGAAATTGACCTCATTTGACGCACATATTTACACTCGAACCAAACCATTTTCTCGTCTTGGATGTTTTTTTTTTGTTTCATTTTCTGTTATTTATGTCTATGATTGGATAGAAACAAATGAACTACAAATACTCCAAGGTTTTTTTTTTGACTTCATTAAAAAATAAAATCGTTTTTGTAGGATTGAAACTTTTTGAGGTCAAAACCCCCCTCCCCCACCCCAAAACTAAAGCAAATAAGTTTTTTATCGATGTTTTGACGTCGTCCCTAATTAACTGTTCAAAGTAGACTAAAGCTACAAAACAATGCGATCAATAAATATTGTATGTTGAACAGTAGAACGAATTTTCCCCGACATTTTCAATTTTGTTACATGACAACCATTCATCTTGTTATTTCGTAATGCACCCATCACCATGGCGAAAAAGTGATCAATGAGCTGTACACAGGTTAATTAAATTTAATGTGAATCCCTGAAAATATTACAAATTTTAATCGACAGTATATGAATATATATATATATATTTATATCAAAGGTGTCATCTTAAAACGACGGGAATGAGCGCTTTGTTATATTCAATTGATTTTCAAAAAGTTTGTAATCATGCTGTAACGATGAAGTGATTGGTCATAAATTCTGTTTAACAATTGCGTTGATCAGCTGACCAAACGAAACATTGTGATGAATCACTTGTGCGATGAATCGCTTGAGCTTCTCTGACAATCTACACACAGCATAACGGTGCATAATATAATTTGAATTCATAATTACAAAAGTAAATAGTTTTTAAACGCACATGAGTGATCTGTAATATTACGGAAGAAAGAATTGTCGATTAATTATATTATAGTACATTGACATACTTCATTTCAGCGAATATTTGTCATTATATTCTTATGTATGTCAATAACTGAAAGTTGACAGCACTAGATAATGTTTTGGTTGGAAATGATAATCTGAAAACATTACCGCATCGTACAATTATCATCTTCAGAGAAATATACAATAATAATTATTTGGCACTCTTTAAATACGATAAACACTTTTGCACACGGCTTTATAAAGGTATTGAACTATATTCATGCTTTAAACAAATAATTTGTTGACGGGATCACTATAGGCATTTTATAGGCACATCATGCCCGATAATATTCATGATGGCAGTGCGATTATCTACCAAATCATTGGATGTGATTTATAATACTTTGTTACATTAAAGTTAGTGTGCTCGTATTTTCTTACTTCGATGGCAGTAATACTAAATACATTCTGTTAACATGTTTATTCAGGTTGTAACATCACTTTCAGATAGATGACATTTGTTCATTGATATATCATCTGCATATGTCAATAGCAATAAATAATTAAGTAATTTAAGATTAGAAACAGTTTCATAGCTACTCGAAGCTTTAAAAGATAGTTTACTTTTGTATTTTATACAGTTATTCTTTTACTAAGTTTACTACAAAACTCGCATTACCGAAAATGGTACAAGGAAATAGGTTTCAATGCATTTCTTTTTAGAAGATGATGCCAAAATCTCCATGTAATAGCATTTTATATTCCAGTATTCGGCTTGATTGTGTATTTTATAATTGTTCATGAATGTTCATACTTTAATAACTACCAGGGTTTTGTGTTGTTTCATGTGAAACATTCACACGCTGTTATATACCGTAGGTATGTTCTCTAATAACAACTTCCCAATCATAGTGTACGCCACAAAATGAAGCGCATTGACATGTATACTCCGTTTTCAACGCATCCATAGTGTTGAGCATTTCAAATCAAATCGACACAAACTCTCAGAACTATTTGATTTCAATGTCTGTCTTGAACTGAGGAATCTAAACGAAGATTAGACCGATATGAAAAGACAAATCATCATTTGCACCTTGGTGTTGTTGTTAATATTTGTACCTATGTGTACAAGCATGTATAAATATTATTTTATTGCATACGAACCTGCATCTATACCTTAAAAAATCTACAACGATCATTGGAACATAAGTGGAATGCCATAGAATCTACAAATAAACAAATGTGTCAGTATTCATCTGCAGATTTTCAAATATAATCTATCTGAAGGATTCTTTCTCATGATGCATCTATGTCAAAAATCACCGAGCGCTACTAATTATTACATAACGGTTGGTCAGTCTATGTCCAAATAACATATACTCTATCCCGCCTTAATAAACCTAATAGCTGTGGAAGCAATGAAATAGTGTCGCATTGCTTAAAAAAATAAAACGACAGAATTTATACTGTAAATATTTCTCAGTAGTGAAGTTTGCAGTGCTTCACAATATATCCCAGGAGTTTGTTCATAAATGCAAGA